GGCGGCGCACCCCGCAGTGTCGGGAGCTCAGCGGCCGCGGGCAGCCCAGCCGACACGACGCCGCCCGCCGCCGCCCCCGGGCTGAGCGTCACGTTATGCGCGTTCTCCCCCCAGCGCCACGGGTACACCATGAAGTCGCTGAAACCGGGGCTGGTGGGGACGAGTGGCGGCGGCTGCTCGGGCTCCCCCACTCCGCCGCTGCTACTGCTGCCGCTGCTGCACGGAGGCGTTGCCGGCGTGGTCCTGATGACTGACACCAGCACGCGCTTCGGGGAGTCGTGGCAGAAGATGACCGGCGGCGGCTCCGCCATGGGTGCCGGGGCACCACGGATCATGCTGGCCGGCCCGTCTGCAGCCCTCGCGCTCTCAGCTCGCGCTTCGGATTGCTCGCCCGCGCTGCTCCGCCTCGGCGCCTCACAGCCGCCGGCTCATGGCAGGCGGCGCTGACAAGAGTCCCCGAGAATAACAACCTGCCGTCGCGGTCCCCCGCTCCGGCTTTTCCCGCGTTACATTTCGCGCCTGGGCGGAACCAATCACCGCGAGGACCCTGCGGCTGGCCGCCGCGATGAGTGACAGGTCTCGCGGGCCAATAGCAGCGCCCAAGCTGTGTTTCGTCCAGAGGGGGCGGAACCAAGTTCGAGCGCGGGTCCTTGCTACCACGTCATTGGCCGCCGCTCTCATAATTTTTTTTTTTTTTGTATTGAGGGCCAACAGCGTTCGAAAAGTCGGTCGGAGCGCGCGTCTCCTCCGGACACACCCGTCGGAGGCTCCGCCCCCGCCTAGTGAACCCCGCAAAAGAGAGGCGGGGAGGAGGCCGATGATTGGAGCGCTGCGGCGAAGGGGCGGGGCAGAGCACCCTCGGCCCCGCCCACACCAGCAGAGGTCGCTGCTGGGCAGGAAGGGCTCCCCCACCTCCCCACCCTACCGAACCCCGCCCGCCTGGGGCCCGCCTGTGCTTGTTGGGCGGTGGTTCCCGCGCGGAGTCTGTTTAAAGGGCCACGGCCATGCCGGGCCCTCGGCCCTACCCCAAGCTCAGCGACAGCAGGACACAGGTTTTGGTTTTGAGACGAGTCACACGAGTCTCTCGACCTTGCTCTGGTTGGCCTCGAACTCACATTTCCCTGCCTCTGGATTGCTAGAACTAAGGCGAGCGCCAGCACGCCCGCCTAATGGAGTCCTGGGACCAGCCTCGCTAAGAAGGAATCCTGCAGCGAACGTCCCCTGCCTCCGGGAGCTTGCTCCCCAGCTCGGGACCGCGGTGGGGTGCAGGAACGACCGTGCACTCATAAGGCGGCTCCCGCCATCTTCTCCCTGCCTGTCTCAGCACCCTGAGCCCGAACAGTGGCCAATCGAAGGCCCACCTCCTCACTGGAAGGTGCAAGCGTGGCTCTGGCTCACTTGCTTGCCGTGTTTTCCAGGCAGTCCGACGGTAGTAGCGGTTCAAAGACTTGAATCGACGAATAAATTATTAAGTGGTTAAAGGATAGAACTGGTAACTGTGACTCATTCGCTGTATTTTCCAGACAGCCTGATCCTAGTAGCGGTTCGGTAAAGATTTTTTTATATATATATTGAATGAATATCCAGTAGTCAAGAGATAAAACTGTTAACTCCATCATGTGTGCAAAATAACACATTAACTAAACCTGTTAATACAAAGTTATGCGTAAGTTAATTTAGCCATAATGCTTTGTTTTTCTTTAAAGGGAACTTCCCAAGTTAACAAATCAAAGCAGTCAATAGTTTGCGTCTTATGTTTTATTTTTTTAAGTGGGGAAATCACATTTTATTTTGGCGTAAACAAAATATGGCAAGATACACAATCAAATCTGATTTCATGGAGAAAAAGTAACTTGGGAACAGAAGTGAAAATATTTCAAGAGGATACACTGAATAATTTGTATCTTTGAAGTGGTACAAGTGAAAATATCCTTCCAAAAAACAAGGAACTGGGCAGACAGATGGTTCTGTGGTTAAGAGCACTCGCTGCTCTTCAGGAACCTGAGTTCTAGCACCCATGGTAACAGCATGTGATACCCTCTTCTGGTTTCCTAGAACAGTGCATGCATATGATATACGCAGAAGGAAGCATAACACCCATACATATTTAAAATTGTAAATAATATGTATTCTTTCTTTCCTGGAGGCTGACTACTACTGTATGTGTAGGGCAAATCCAGATATTTTAATAGTCAATTTAGAAACTGAAAGCTTTTGTTTCCCTTAATGTAATAAAATTGTGAAACAAAGTTTTATAATTTAAAAACAAAAAACCTTACTACAATTTTTGTAATCCCAAATTTTGAAAGGGAACTATAAGTCATCTATCTGACAATTGATAGAGAAAGGAAAAAGAGTGATGGCCACTGGAACACTCGAATTAGGGGCTGGCAGGAGTCGACGTTTAAACACTGGCCAATAGTTCCTCTGTAGCATTCACAACATGCCCATATGCAAGATGAATCACATAGCAAGCAGTACACTGACTTAATGCTTCTAAAAATTACCCTTGAGCAAGGGTAACCGGGAAATTCCATTGGCTGCCAGCCTCAAGAGAATGAAAAACATCAGGAATGTGGGGATTCACCTGAGTGGGATTCTGGGAGAATTGAGGTCACTCTGCGAGTTCTGGTTCCACTTTCATGCTACCAGGGGGCTATATGAAGTGTGGTTATATTCTGGAAATCTGTGTTCTGTCCTGGATATAATTAACAAACAGTCTAATGATGTATAATAACTCTGAAGACAGACTAAAACCCATCTTAGGCCGGGTGGTAGTAGCACGTGCCTTTATTCCAGACCTAGGAGGCAGCAGCAGATGGATCTCTAAGTTCAACGCCAGCCTGAGTTCCAGGACAACCCGGGCTACACAAACCGTCTTGAAAAACAAAAACAAACAAAAATCTCAGAATACAGATTACATTACCTCATTTAACTAATTGTTCAAACTGTAGTCCCTAGGGGCTGGGAGTGTGGTTTAGTGGTACACCTAGGAATATGTAAGGCTTTGGACTCAATCCTTAGCACCCACTATGGAAAAAAAGTCTCTCTGATAAAAGTCTTTTAAAATGTATCTTAAAGTCTCAAAATGGAAGTAAAAAAGGTTTCTCAATTTGAACATGTAGTGTATCAAGAAGCACGAGTTTACTTTATTGCTAATTAACACAAAATTTTTTATTCTAAGTTTTTGACACTAAATTTCTGGGTCTTATCGTAGTTGTTCTTTGTTGTTTTCTCCTTTTTCCAGACAGAGTTTCTCTATGTTTCTACATGTTTCACTATGTAGCTCAGGTTGGCCTCAAACTTAGAGATCCATCTGCCTCTGCCTCCCAAGTGCTGGACTAAAGGCATGCACCATCACTGACTGGCTACATAGTTATTTTTTAAAATACATAAAGTGATTTGCTGTCATCAAAAACATACATAGAGCAGCTTTGAAAATAGAAGCTGGGAGGCTGGAGAGATGGCTCCATCATACGTGCTACTCTTGCAGAGGACCTTGGTTTGTTTTCCAGCATGCATGTCTGGTGGATCACAACTGCCAGAAACTCCAGTTCCAGGGGAACTGACATTTTCTTCTCTGGATCATCTTCTTCTTCTTCTTATCTGATGACTCTGGGTCATCAGGATATACAATAAATATATATGCCTTCAATTCATTGAGTCCCCAGTCTACAAACACTCCTCTTGTTTCCATTAATCCTGAACAATTTTATTTGATCCTTACCAGATTCTAATCAAATCCCTAGATTAAAAGACCTATTTTAAAGCAATTTTCTAGTTTTCTGCTGTGAAGTCAACAGTTCATATTGGTGCTATTTAGAGGCATCATTCAATAAAAACTAACAAAGCACCACCGTATCTGTGAGCTATTTACTAAGGGGAAAATGGAAATTATAAACTTATATCTACAGGATCATGGCCTTCTGTCTAGACAGAGTATGACGTACCTTAGCCAAGAGTCTTTGAAGAATAAGCCAGCAAGCACTGGTCCAATACAGCTAAAGAAACATTCAGTAAGAGTTACAGGCTCCCAGGCTGTCCTTTAAAAAAGAAAAAAGGGGAAAAAGTTACAGGCTACCAGCAGGATTACTTTGTTTCCTTAGAAGATCTGAGAGATCACAGTTTGAAGGCAAAGGATAGAGAAAGGATAGGTGGGACAAGGAAGATAAAAGAACTAATGTTATTTACCCTAATTAGCTTTAACTATCAACTTGACACAGTCTAGAACCACCTGAGAAGGGAGACTCAGTTGAAAGATTGTCCAGATCACATTCCCAGGGGTAATTCTGTGGGAAATTGTCTAGGTTAACTGATGTAGGAGGGCTCAGCCCACTGTGGGCAGCACCATTCCCTTGGCAGGTGTTCTCAGGCTGTGTAAAAAGGCTAGCCAAACACTAGCCTCTGAGTGAGCCAACAAGCAGCATTCCTCCATGTCTCCCGCTTCCAGGTTTCTGCCTTGAATTCATGGCCTTAGTTCTCTCAGTGATGGACTGTGACCTGGGAAGATGAGAGGAAAGAAAACTTTTTCTCCCCTAAGTTGTTTCTTATCAGTGTTTTATTACAATAACAGGAAGGAATCTTACACACTGTTCATATTACAACATCTACTAAATAATGTCAAAGGCAGATTCCACTGATCAAGAAGACTCTTTTTTTAAAAAAATATTTATTTTGCCTGACAGTAGTAGTGCAGGCCTTTAACCCCAGCACTAGGTAGGCAAAGCCACGAAGATCTCTGTTCTTTTGTGCTGCTAGTCCAACCACTTGGTAAAGTCTGGTGCACTCTGAGGGATGTGTTCTTCTAACAGCAGGAAAAATAAAGTAAACAAATAAACAGAGGCAATAGGACCTGGGAGGCATTCTTGACTTGAACAACTCAGAAAGATTTAAAAATCCGATTACTACCTATGAATAGAGATGGGATCAGCAAGATGGCTCAGCCAGTAAGGACCTGTGCCACCAAGACTGACAACCTGAGTTCAATACCTGGACTCACAGCAGGAAAGGAAAGAACTGAGTCTTGCAACTTGTCCTCGGACCACATTCTCACTGTGGCATGCAAGACCCCTCCCCACTAAAATACAGTGATAATAAATGTGAGCTATATAGAGAGATAGACGCTTAGAATTACTTGCATGTATGACATTGACAATGTACAACGGTTGAAAAAATAGGTTAGTGAGTGAATCACCTTTTTTTGCTAACCTCAAATCAGGTCATCTTTCTCATGTAGGTTTAATATAATATAATAACACTACTTATACATGAGGACACTCTGGTGATGTGAACGAGAATGGCCCCCACAGGCTGATAGATTTGGAAGCTTGGTCAGCAGGGAGTGGTACTACTAAGAAGGATTAGGAGGCGTGGCCTTTGTTGGAGCAAGTGTGCCCTGGGGGTGGGCTTTGAGGTTTTCAGAAGCCCAAGCTAGGGCCATTGGCTCTCTCTCCCTACTGCCTGTGGGTCAGGATGTAGAACTCTCAACTACTTTTCCAGGACCACGTCTGCCTGTGTGCCACCATGCTTCCCACTGTGATGACAGCAGAACAAACCTCCTGAAACTATAAGCAAGTCCCAATTAAATGCTTTTTTATTTTTTTTGAAAAAAAGACATGCCATGGTCATGGTGTCTAAGACCATGTGAGGGCTCCACAACAGCAATGCAAATATTTAACAAAATCACACACTTATCAATCAATAGAGCTAGAACTCAAAATTAGTGGTTGCCTTGTGCTAAAGGTAGAAAGAGGGTTGGCTGATTGGCCAGAGGTATCTTCTGAAGTGGAGGAAAAAGGCTTAAAAACTAGATTGTAATGATGGTGCACAAATTTTTAAGTTTATTAAGTGGAATTTTACATTTACAATAGGAGACTTGAGGGCTGGAGAGTTGACTCTGGGGTTAAGAGCACTTTTGTCCTTGAAGAGGATCTAGGTTCAGTGTTCAGCACCCACATAATGACTCACGACTATCCATAATTCTAGTTCTAAGGGATCCTACACCAGACTCCACCAGTACCAAGCACTTACATGATACACACACATACATGCAGGCAAAAACCTCATATACACAAAATATTTAAATCTGAAAAAAATTAAACAGGAGACTTTTGTAATATGTAAATACCACCCCTTGGAAACCACTAATTTACTTTTCTGTCTGTATGAACTTTATAATTGATATTTTCCATAAGTGGAATTCTATTGCCTTTGACATATTGTGTCTGGCTTCTTTTATTTAGTATAATGTTATAGAAATGCATGTAGAAAAATAGCTCTACACTTAAGAGTGCTTACTGTTCTTGCAGAAGACCAGAGCCTGATTTCCAGGACCCACACCAGGTGGCTCACAACAGCCTGTAACTCCAGTTCCAAAGGATACACACACACACACACACACACACACACACACACAGACACAGAGAGAGAGAGAGAGAGAGAGAGAGAGATAGTAAGAGAGAGGACAGTGAGAGAGAAAGAGACAGAAAGAGAGAGAGAGAGAGAGAGAGAGAGAGAGAGAGAGAGAGAGAATAAAAAAAATTTTTAAATCCTTAAAAAGTTCTTCCATCTACCAGCTGACAAACGCCAGGTAGCTTCCAAATTTGGGCCATTGTTATTGTTAAAAATGCCAGTGTCATTTGTGTATAAGCTTCTGTCTGGGTGTGTGTTTCAAATCTACTTATACATATCTCACAGTTACAAGTGTCTTCATTTCTGAATCCTGTTCTGCCTGAATCTATTTAATTTCTAAATCTCCTAAATCCACCCTCCAACATGTCTACATGAAGCAGAAGCCCATTTAGAACCTCTGAAGTTTAATTTTTTAAGGACTTGCCCTGCTCTTCAAGTCCTCCTAATGTGTATTTTACTTCCCTTAAAAAATTACAGTCATCCCAGGGGACTCCCCTAACCAAGCTGGCTAGAGAGACTGGCAATATTGGCAAACTCTGAGTTTGATGGAGACACTCTACTTCAATACATAAGGTGGGAGAGGAATTGAGAATAATTCCTAATATCAACCTCAGACCTACCTCCACAAGCACTTGCACACAGGTGCACACACATTCATACATATGTGCTCAAACACATGTAAACACTCATACCACACACACGTGAAAATGGGAAAAAAATACAATAGAATAATAGAAGTGCCAGTTATCAGAGAAAATGTGCCAGGCTGTTACATGTAGCTTTTCTTTCCATTTTCCCTAACAGCTAAAGCTACTGAACACCTTTTCATATGCTTTGTCCATTTGTAAACCTGTGAAGAAATGATTACTGAAACTCTCTTAGTTAGTTTTATCGTTTTTTTTAATTGAATATAATGTGTTCTAAATACTAACCCCATTAAAGATTTTCAAATATTTTCTTCTACTCTATGGGTTGTCTTTAGCTTTCTTTATAGTTTTCTTTGATGACTAGAAGTACTAAATTTGATGAAGTGTGACTTGCTTGTGCCTTTCATGTCATATTTACAAAGTTATCACCTTCCCACAGCTTCTGGTCTCTAAAATCAATCATCAGTGATAGGAATCAAGTCTCTTTGGAGAAATGGCTGATGCCAAGACCAGTCCAGGAAATGTACAAGACCTGCCAGGAGTAAGTAATCATCTTTACTCCCAGAAAGTATGGGAGCACTATCATTATGTTCTCAAAGCAACACAGGAGCCAATGGAAAAGGTTCTGTGTCTAAAGCTTCACTGACATGGGCAACAGAATGGATAATATGAGCCAGTGGTGGTACCACACGCCTTTAAGTCCAGCACTTGAGAGGCAGACGCAGGTGGATCTCTGAGTTTGAGACCAGTTTGGTCCAAAGAGTAAGTTCTAGGACAGCCAGGGCTACACAGAGAAATCTGTCTAGAAAAACTAAAAAAAAAACAACAAAATGTAGTATAGGATTGTGTAGACAGAAGTTTCTGTTCCACCCAGTCCCACAGCCATTCAGTCCCAAATAAACACACAGAGGCTTATATTAATTATAAACTGTTTGGCCTATTGTTCAGGCTTATTACTAATTAGCTCTTATGACTTAAATCCACCCATAATTCTTGTCTATGGTTAGCCATGTAGCTTGGTACCTTTTCTCAGTAAGGCATTCTCATCTTGTTCCCTCTGCATATGGCTGGTGACTGACTTTCCTCTTCCCAGAATTCTCCTACTCTGGTTGCCCCACCTATACTTCCTGCCTGGTTACTGGCCAATCAGCATTCTATTAAACCAACATGAGTGACAAATATTTACAGTGTGCAAGACCATTATCCCACAGCAGGATTGCATTCACAGTATAAACTAAATGCCATGAATCTACACCACATAATGAATCATTGAATATGTTAGTTTCTAGAAAGAAGGTTTTTTCAATTAAATTCCTAACCTGCTTTCTATTTCAAGTGATACAGTTGGAATATTAAAATGTCCCTGTGGGGTCATGGTTTAAACACTTGTTCTTCAGCTGGTAGTGTTATCTGGGGAGACTATGGAGTCTTTAGGAGTCAGCGCCTGTACGGATGAGTCCTTGGAGGATAAGTTACCCCTGCCTGATTCATCTTTTTCTCTCTATTTCTCGGTCCATCATGATGAGAACAACCTCCATCCCAGGCTCCCAACATGAACTGAGTGCTTTACCATGCCTTCTTTGCCATGATGAACTGAACACCTCCGATACTAGGAGCCAAAACAGTTCTGTCTAGTATGCTATTGTGGATGCAGCGATGCAAAGGTAACTAAACCATTCCTGACATGACCTGACCCTTTGCACAATGTTTCAAGGTTCATCTGTGCTGCAGAGTGTACCAACACTTGTTCTTTATCTGCCCAAAATACAAGCTGCTCCTGTGCCACACGTTATTGAGCATTTGAGTTGCTTCTACCTTCTGGTTATGAATAGCACCTCTAAGAATAATACAAGTTTTCATTTGAATAACTGTTTTTATTTTTTTGCTAGAAAATGCAGGCATTATTCTTTAATTCAAAAAAGGAAATGGTCAGATTCTTAAAATTTTTAGTCAATTCATCATGTATTTATTGAGAACCTATCGGCTGCCTGAGTGGCAAGCCTGGGGAATTACAACTTGAGACAAAAATCACCTTTGACTTCTTTGCACAGGAAAGTAGAACAGCAGTAAAACTCAGACCTTTTAACACATGGGTTGAACTATTCCTTTTACATATGAACAGAAGGTAGGGGTGGGGCATGGAGAAGTGAGGGAGCGGGACAATTTTGAACAAAGCGTAATGTCATATATATGCATATATACACATATATAAACACATATAGCACAGAACCATTACTTGTATGATAACTTACAAAATTAATTTTCCAGACAAGAGAGATGGCTCAGGAAGTAAAGGCACTTGCCAGCAAGCCTGACACCTAGTATGGAATTTGAGTACCTGAAAGCAGGCCTTAACTGAATGTCTCAAAAGCAAACAGCCACTATCTAAACTTCACCCTGTCCACGCCTGCATGCATCACCTCATCACAGTGGGTCTCAGGGTTGTTTCTTTGGGCTGTTTTGGTCTTCTGCCCTTGTCACCTCTGTCAGCAGGACAAGTCTCTCCAAGCCTGACTGGCTCAGCTCCCTGCAATACCTCCATCTTCTGAGAACTCTGACTCTCCTCTAGGCACTTTCAATCAGTCTACAGGTCTCCCCCAAACACGCAGCCCCTGAAGGTCTAGTGACCAGGTCACCTAGGTGAAGTGCAGAGATGCGCAACCGGATTCCCACCAGGGAGTGATGCACAAACGCAAGCCGCCTCCACGGTGCCTCCCGTGGTAGCTCCGCCCCAGTCCCGCACCACCACGCCCACAGGCCATGGGGGGGGAGGGGAGGATAAGGTGGGGCGTGACGTCACAGACAGCGGCTGCCCATTGGGTCGTCGTGCGCGCCGGGGCCGGGGGGCGTGTCTGTGAGCGCTGATTGGCTGGCGCGCGGCGGCGGGGCGGAGCCG